GGTTCTACTGAACTGAAGGGGTCCTGGGGCCGAAGCTAGCCGAAGGATCGGCCGAAGCTACGGCTGGATCCTTCGGCAGCTTCGTGAATAGACCCATTGTTTTTTCATTTATTTATTTTTTATATTTTTTTGTCTGCATTTACATTGCTGTATTGACACAGCTGAAATAGTTACCAATGGTAGATTTTTACTGTTTATCACATTCTTTATTTACATGTTACGCACAGTTCTTTTACTATTAGTCAGAAATTATTGTGCAATAAGGATTGCTTTGTAGTTTATTAGTGTCAGGGTACCATGCACAGGCGTCCTCACACCACATGCAGGTACCCACGCAGGATGACCAAATTAATATGCCCACACATAATAGGGTTATATGCACAGTTTATTTGTTACCATCAAACAAAACTACTAACCCCCTCAACCCCCCACAGGCTTAGCAGTGAAGTAACAAGGAGGGTTAACAGGAGGGCAGCACAGTACAGGATTTAGGAAGAATGGTCAGGTACAAGCCAGGTTGTTAACAGGAGGGCAGCACGGTACAGAAACAGGATCCAAGAAGAGTGGTCGGGTAACGGTGACAGGTCTGCAGCTAGGAAGCAGGGTTCAGGTAGCTGGGTTCAGGAAGCTGGGTTCAGGAAGCTGGGTTCAGGAATCAGTCAAGTGCAGGCAACACAATACTGAGCCAGCTTCCTGACTGCAGTTAGGGCCTAAATACCCTCCCAGGAAGCACCAGGTGATGGGATGATCCGTCACAGCTGGGGCACACCCTCAGGTGAGTACTGGAGCTGCAGGTTCCTTACAGTCCCTGGCTGCTGGAGACACCCGCAGGCGAGCACAGGAACTGCAGGACATGGCTCCAGCACCACCTGGGGGTGCTCTGGATCCTGACAATTAGCATGGCACTTTTTCATTTATCTTGTTTTAGTCTGGCCATTGAACTAGTCTTAGCTGCTAGCATAGGTGGTGGATGTAAAGTTTTGAGATTAGAGACTTTCAATGGCATATTTAGTTGACCAAAAGGGAGCAAATAAGGAAATTCATTGTTAGGGTTTACATACACTTTTCTCTGTGTCTTTTATATTTGTCTATTTTTAATTACTAGTATTACACAGTATTTAAACATATGTGTTAAAAATCTTACATTTTTACTCAATTAATTATCATGCAGTGCCTAATATCTAGTCCTTTAGACATGCTGTACTTTGTTACCTAAGGCTGCGCATAAAGGGTTCACACCCCTTTTGGATACCCAAAAGCAGACAGTTTAATTTTTATTTTTACCAGCAGCTAAATACAATAAAAATGTACACAGTAAATACAGGTTAGTGAATACAAAAGATAATATTCCAACTAATATCATGCTGCTAGACACATCATTACAGCGTGGGCAGAAAGGAAGTATTATGATGACTCTGTTTATAATTAGGGTTGCTCCTGCAGGCTCTGTGGCCATGCATAGACATTGCAGTGAGTGCACACTGATGATTCTATTCCTGGAGGAGTGTTCACCTTGGGTCACAGGAAGAATGGCAGTTGTCTCACCTCTGCTTTCATTAATCTTCCAAATCACCATTAAAAACTCTTTGGTGTATGTTTAGTTGAGTGCTGTCCATCCTTCCTTCGGTTTCTGACACTAACCCTTCTGTGCTTATTGGTTTTGAACTGCTCTCTCATTGATCAACATGTCTTCACTTCTTTCAGCTTTTCATGCTACTGCACTGAGCTATGTTTCCACGTTGACACTTGTCTCTCAACAAATAAATACTCACATTCACTTGAAAAACACTTTTGTTAAACCTCTACCAATGGGCACATCCTTTCATCTTGCTTTGCTGTTTTTCATTGAAATGCTTCTAAACTAACTCATTAACTTCTAGGATATGCTGACAGCACAATGGTTAAATCAAACAATCAACCTATTAATTATACCTGCATAATGTACAATGTTTTATCAATTTCCTCCAGGTAGGTTTTATTTTACCTTGCGTTTGCCTATAGTATAGAAATCTTATTGTGCACTGTACTGATAGAAGGAAGTAAATATGCTTAACAGTAAGTATGTGTAATTGTTTAGAGATTATATTTTTCCTTTTTTACTATACAACATATGAGCAAATTGGTATTCCCATCTACCAAAGACAGGAACTTCAGTTCCTACCTTTACCTTTACTCAATAGTAAACACAAGTGAAAACAAACACTCTATTCCAAATGAGAGAAAAATAAATTCTCAATTACTCAAGCCTAGTGGACATAAAATATAATAATATACTGTAGTCTTTGCAGTTATTATAATTTTATATACATTTGATAGAAAGATATTTTGGCTGCCTACCTGTGTCTATCTTTTAACGATCACCCACAGAAGTAATTTTTACACTGCTTACTATACCTGCAGAACTGAAGAGGCTCCAGATGATGTTTATTTATATATATGGCTTTTCCCCATTGTGTATTTAGACTGTACATGACTTCACATTGTCAGACACGTCATAGCCACATAAATAACTCATGCTTGCCACTTATACCATGACCTCTCTCACACTAATCACTTTCAG